GTCCCAATAATGACTCATCTTTGTTCTTATTATTAAACCAGTGTTTGAACACTGTGTGAATTATTACGATGAATGCCAAAATGGTACAGGCCAAATATGCCTGAGGAAGGTCATATATTTCCAGGAGAATGCCATTCATCATACAGGCAAAAAGGTTTTTAAATTCTTGTGAGGTAATGTTGTCGGCCATATTACAAGAATTACTCAAAATTTTTAGTCAATTTTAAGACGTAAAATTATCAAGTACTTTTACTTGAAATAAAATGCTGGTTTGCTTATCTTACCTTTCTGTGGTATGGGGGGGTTGTAGTAGCGCTTTTCAACCAGCAGGCGGTGCTGGTACAGCTCCAAAGCAGTGCCTGCTGGCGACCTTGGCTGGCGGCAGTTGGAGGCAGATGGCGGGATGGCTGGGAGCCAGGAGCCAGATACCTCACTAGCAGCGGTTTTTCACTGGTCTCGGGGCTAAGCTAGGGAGCTGAGACCGGATTAGCTGCTCCCCTTTTCGGGAATGGAACCCTGTAGGTGTTAACCCTGGTTATATGGAACTTTGCAGGTGGGTTTAGGTACCCGGCACCCGGGGAGGAGGCTGAGGGCAGGAGCCGCCCAGGCCTTTGGAATTTGACCCACGTGGGCGCCAGATATTGGGGAAAATTATAAAGGCCACTCCACGTAGTTAAAAGGAAGATTTATTTAGTGGATGACTTACAAATGAAGGAATAGATAGATCGCGGGGGTCTGGGGAAGGTGTATCACAATCCAGCGGTGTTCTCTGGAGCTCTGCACAATCAACCTCCACCGTCCAGGGTCCAGGAACAGAGAGAGCGCTTGCCCATCCAGATCTCGGGTCTCCAGACACCTCCCTTGGCCCTGCCTCATAGGCGTGACAGTTGCCAGAGTCTCAATGGGGGTTGGAACTTCCAGAACCAAGCTGGAATGGCTACCCACTACAGGGGAAATGTTGTGGAATAATCTCTTTGTACACTGTGAAGCAATGCCACTTGGATTGGTGTAATAAAAGGCCAATAGCTAGGCAGGATTATCTAGGCAGAGAGAATGTTGGGAAGAAGAAGGGCAGAGTCAAAGGAGATGCAGAGAGAAGCAAGATGAACGTGCTGTACTGAGGAAAGGTACTGAGACATACGGTAGACATAGAAAATAAATATGGGTTGATTTAGTTATAGAGATAGTTAGAAACAAGCATAAGTTATTGGCTGAGCATTTATAATTAATAGTAAGTCTGTGTGATTATTTGGGAGCTGGCTGGTGGGACAGAAAATTCTGCCTACACTGGTATTTTTTTGAGATGTGGTCTGTCTCCACAGTCCTGACTACTTTGGAACTTGCTATGTAGACCATAGAGAGTTCAATTGCCTTTGCTTCCCAAGTGCTGGGATTAAAGATATGGGCTACCAAATGTGTCCTTAGTTACTTTTCTGTGCCTGTGATAAGACACCATGATCAAGGCAATTTATAAAAGGAAGTGTTTAATTTGGGCTTCAATTTTCAGATGGTTTGAGTCCATGACAACAGAGGAGAAGTGTGGTGGCCCGAACATTTGAGAGCCCACATCTTGATCCACAAGCATCAGAGAGACTGGGAATAGTGGGAGTCTTTTATAACCTCCATGCCCAGCCCCAGTGACACACCTCCTCCAAAAGGCCACACCTCCTGACCCTTCCCAAACAGTTCCATCAACTGGAACTGAAGAATCCAAACCTCTGAACCTGGGTGGCCATTCTCATTCAAACCACCACAGCATTCAGTGCAGATGTAAGGTGCCCTGCAGGGTTCTGCAAATGTGTCCATTGTGATCTGTAGACTGTATCCTCAAACAGGAGGACCCCACTGTGTTAGGACCTCCCCTTTCTTCTGTCCCCTGCTCAACCCTTCTTCTCCCTCAGGCCTCACCCCATCAGTGTCCAGCACTCCTCATTCTGGAGATTTGCACCAACATTGTCTCTTCCTTTGCACCGAATTTCTCTCTGTGGTCAGCCATCTTGTCAGCCATCTTGCTGTGAGCCAGACTGTGTGGTTTCCTTATGTAAAAGTGCCAATAAGGGCCAGAGAGATGGTTCAGAGGTTCAGAGCACCTGTTGCTGTTGTAGAGGATCCAGGTTCAGTTCTCATCACCCACATGGTGGCTGGCAACCATATGTTACTTCAGTTCCAGCGGATCCAGTTCCTACTGGACCTGCATATTCATATGCAAAAAATAATACATCTAATAAAAAATAAAATTTAAAAATACCTTTAAAAAATGCTCCAATGTCTTCCTCTCTACATATTTAGAGTGTGAGGCCCGGGGGCTGAGGGCACAGAGCTGTTTAGTCAACATTGTTCCACCAGAAAATTAATCCAGCTTTGGAATAGGACAGGTACTGATGATTGAAATAGAATGTGCTGAAATGAAAATGTTCAAAAGAGCTTGTAGTAATATCATAATGGAAAATACATTGAGTCCAACTTAAAAGTCCCCTAATCTATAACAGTCTCAACATTGTGGTGGCAATCAGTTGCTCATTGTCGTGGCACTGGTGTGTGGGTTCCCTCAGATTTGTGGAAAGAAGGCTCAGAGGCATCTTAAGAATGAATCTAGCCTTTCATAGCTGTCGGGGGGTGGGGTGGGGGGCTGGGGAACGTTCAGCCTCGAAGTAGGGAAGCACTTTCCCTTCACCCAGGGCATTTTAATTTCCTCTCTATTTACAGTTTAGCCAGTTCATTTCTGTGTCTTCAAAACAACCGGAAAGGAGCTCCCAAAGATAAAATGCCAAGTGCAGATTCCTCCATTTCTCAGGTACCATGGTTTTCTGGGTTTCCTGGACCAAGATTTGCATAGGCCTTTGGTCCCCAGACAAGATTCACATAGGGCAATAACAGAAACAAAAGGTGTCAGTTAAACAAAGGATGGATTAGGGCTAGGTGCTACTCTCTG